TTGAAGTCACCAAACCCTATTTTCACCAAAGTGTCAACTTGCCCAAATAAGTTCAATCAAACACAGCTCTGGAGAGATGAGCATTGTGTATCTAGAAACGTAAATGAAACCATTGTGGCTGAAAAAATCCAAGTTAAAAATATGGGTGATCATTATTTGATTCATTGTGCAGGACATAAAATCGAAATATACTCAGGTACCTATTCATGTCCGAATCAAGTTATCAAACTATCAAAATATACCAATTTCAGTATTGATGACATGAAGTATACTTCCAACAATTTTTTCATTTACGTTAGAGGTCCTAGAGTAACGGAACATACTCAAGCAATTAATCTAAAACTGTTTCAACCAACTTACAAGGAAATCAATATACCAACATTAGAATTTGAACTCCTCGATGCAGCTCACGAGAAAGTACTTTCTAGTTTCGAGAAAATCACTCTTACTTGGAAATTTGATTATGTTAAATGGATTTCAATTTCACTATTAGTAACCATTTGTTTTTTATTATGTTCTCTTAGTGTACGTTTTATGTTCGCTCCAAAACGAACAGTATACTCAATAGTTTACGATGAGAGAGATAACAGAACAAACAGAACAGATAAAATAAAAGACAAAAGACAACCAGAAGTGATACCTTTACATAAATGCTATTAAAAATAAATTTTGGGAAATAATTATGGTGATGGGAAATGATAAAATTGAACAAAAATAAAAAAAAAATCACAAAATACAAAAAACAAACAAAAACTAAATAAAAAGAAAGAAAACGCCCGGTGATTAGGCTACAAAAAAAAAACTTGATAAACTCTAATGATAAAACAAAACAAAAAAAAATTTAAATAAATAAAGTGAAAGCCCGGTGAGTGGGCTGAAAAAAAAATAATAACACAAATACCCGGTGATTGGGTTGGAAAAAAAAGAAAATAATAAAATTAAGTGCCCGGTGATTGGGTTAAGTTTAAAGTGACCAGAGATGGGTCACAAAATAAAAGTCCCGGTGATTGGGACTGATTAATCATGTTCTTTTCTTTTCTTTTATCTAACAGGATGGAGAGAAATCAGCCGAGATGGAGAAATCCCAAATATTCCGATGGAGATAAAGAAAAGAAACCTTTTCTACTGTATCAACATTATTTGATCTTGTCTTGCTATGCTTGGAATTTTGTTAATGGCTATGGAGTTTTTAAGAAAAAGATTGAAGGATGTAAGATGTCAGGTACACCTCCCAAGATGCATCAATATACTAAATTAACCGTAACTGCACATACAAAAGGAGCAATAAATCGAGCGCACAATTATTTGATTCAAGAAATCAAAGAGATAGCTAAAAGAATTAAGCAGAAAACAGGAAGATCTCGATGGATTTCATTGACTCCTATTCCCTTATTCCATTGCAGTTTATGCTTTAAACCAGACCATCATAAGACTAAGTGTGAAAATTGTTCCTTTTGCTCTAAAAACACACACCTTAGAAAAAACTGTCCAGAGCTAATTAAAAGAGTTGGCCAAGTCACTCTACAAATCCAACCTGTTATCAAGCCTGTTAACGCCCGCAGAGAAGAAAGAAGACAATTTCGACGTAAATTGAGAAGAGAATTTACAGGAAATATTTGGTACAAGATACCCGGAAAATATGACTTGAGAATCCTAGAAAAATTAGAACCAATTGGTTCTCCACCTTTGCCTACTTTATCATTAGACATGGAAGGAAATGGAAGTGGAGGTGTCGGTAATATCCATATATCTGGATGGTTTGGAAACATCATACGAATTCAAACAATATACTATGTTGAAGTTAAATCGGAAAACTCATTTTATACAAATACAAAAATTACGGGATTACAGCCCAGCGATTTAGCTACGGGTGTACCTTTTCACCTAGTACGTAAAACAGTGTTAGAGATTTTAAGAGGGAAAAGAGTAATTACACAAGGAGATGGTGATTTAAAGTTATTAAAATTTACCCCAACTCACTTAATGGATAATGAAATTACTTGGGTTGATTTGCAATCGTTATGGCCTGGTCAACAACCATTAGGGTTGACTTATGTTGATAAATTCTTTTTCCCTGAGAAACCAAAATTAAAACGTGATGATCCAACGAATACCATCGCTGGACATTCACCAGAGAGAGATGCCAGAGTTACTCTACGAGGATACATGGAATATCTAAAGCTAGCCGATTATATAAATTACGTTCCGACCTCAGAGACCATAAGAAGAATGGTCAACTCAAATTTATCAATCAATGATTGGTGATATCCAATCGAGTTCATATTGTTCAATACTTTATTTCACATTATTACTAATCCATATTTTAGTTATATTTTCAGAACGAGGACGTTCTTTTGGTGCCCCGGTCAACTGCGAGGAAAACTTGTTTTGAACTTGTTTTTTGTGCTCCTACCTTTCCCTACCTTCCGAAGGTAGGGAAAGGCCACAATTGGTTGGTTTTTTTGCTGGGTCGGCCATTTGTGAGGGAGAAGATTTTCTCCCTCACTCTGCATAAAATGGCCGACATTTTCTTTGTTGGAGCGCGAAATAGCCACCCGCGGAAGCCCTATCCGACTGTAGTCTGAATTGATGAAGTTTAAGTGTAATCTTCAAGTATTGTATAACCACAACACCTTTCATCTTTAACTCACCAAATAGTGATTCACCTTATCAGGAAAGTGACTTAATCAACGTAAATAGTGACATCCACTGCGGATCAACAGTGTGGGACTAAACGATCCTCTGTGTTGGGTGATTTGAACCTAAGTAGACTAGGTGGTTAACCGGTGAATTGTGCAGCTAAATTTAGTTAATAAACAATGAATCTCACCAAGAATCTCGGCCTGACAACTAAATGACCAATTGTGAATCTCAAATCCTAACCTCCTTTTACCTTTATTAATTATCTTCACTAAGTTGTAATTTCTCAAATAAAATTGTATTTCCTAATAATAAATATTGAGTTAAAATCCACCATTGGACCAGCTTAAACAGCATTTACCCTCCAATAGATTAGTTTTATGCTCAAAGTAAATTGAAATTAGCATTTCTTTAAAGGTAAACAGCAAGTGAAAAGAAAAGTAAAGGTAAATTCCCTATTTTTTGTGCAAAAGCATCAAGGCCCAAGGGAAGTTTAACCGATAAACACAACAGTTTAAAGGAGGAGAAATGAAAATCATCTTAATCAATTAATCTGTTATGTAAATCAACAAATTCATCATCATGTTCATCAATTTTGACCAAAGTTATCATCAACCAAGAAACCCAAAACCTTATCGATTACCCTTTCAACAAGATGAATGATTATCGGCTTTACATTATTAATAAATGACACAAATCAGTGATTCAAAACAAGGATACTTTTAACATATATCAAGATGTCATTGAGATATACAGAAATGAAAAAACCAAAGTCAATCAAAGCAACAAACCCAAATAACCCGAAAAAGTATCAAAACAAATAACAAAGTCAGGCCTAAATTTGATCCTCAGCTAATTGTCATTTTCCTCAGCTATAAAGAGTTAAGATGACAGTGAACCTGAGGATACAGATTCTGGGAATGTAATTTTAACGATGTAAAAATGATGATTATGCTGATGATGATATTTAATGTGAAATCACAAATGATGTCCCAAAGTATTCAATCAATGGAATCAAGTTAATCAATTGAAAAAGGCGAATAAACATTTGAATAGTTTTCCAATGACTGTAAAGAGGTGTGACGATGTATCATTTCATCTTTGATCAAGACCATTTGGTTGACAATCCTTTAGTTACTTTTAATCAAATTGAGTTGGCATTTGTTAAAAAAGGATAGTCATGATGATCATCCTCAACCCCATCAACATGGAAAATAGTTAACTTTTGTTTAAAGCAACACACAAAATGATCATCTTGATCATGTAAAAAGGCCTCATCGATGATGATAATGATGATGATTACAGGTTTTACGTTTCCTTCTTGATCATTTTTACAGCAACACAAACAACAACAAAAAAACAAAATCATGTTCACCTCTTCTTCATCTTCCCAAAATACAGAGGAAAATATAAATCTTAATCCCTGAGGCAATTGAGATTGGCCTGATCAGTGAAAGCTACAAAACACTCGATAACTCCAATTATGATTTAAACGCTTTTACCATTGCCTGTTAATTACATCAAAAGCCTTGCTTAATGTAACTGAAAACTCAAATCTGTTGTAGCAATTGAAAGGATTGTTGTAAATGCTTTGCGCCTTTTTGATAATACTTTCAATATTTTGTTTGTGAAGAAGTGAAAGTTAAAGGCAGCCAAAATAACCATTAAAAGATACCTTGAAGACACAGTTCATCGGACTTGGAAAGAGTTGGATGAAGATGATAATGAACGATGACGATGGACGTTGTTAAATGATAGCGAATTAAAATAATACATGTAAATGTAAATAATGATGTAAGATGTAAAGATGTAAAGATGTTTCAATCCGATCATTACACACTTTACCACTGGCTAGTTTGCTCTCTATTATTAGCTATAAACCCTTGCCATCTTATCCCATTAATATGATTATTATCATTATTGCCTCAACATGCTCAAGGGTTGAATCATCTATTAGACTATGTAATAACCCAAAAAGGCTTGAAAGAGACACACAGAAGCAAAGATTCCGAATAAAGGTGTGTTGAGCCAAAATTGAGCCAAAAATGTATCGAGATGTTAAGTCGCATTAATCTTGATTGCTTTCCATTACTCTCTTCGCCATATTAATTGTTCATTAAATTGTCTTTTGCCTTGTTATGGTGAATATTGAAACCGAGTGAAATGCCATTTTTGGATATTGTCACCTTATCGTTAAATGCTCAACCTTTTACCAGTTTTAAATTTAGATTGTTTTCAAGTCTATCCTATTATTGATTTGTTAATTGCGCAAACTGTAATACAAATTTGTTATATAATAAAAACTGGAAATGTTGCAAAAAGTGCACCGAGATTGATGAAATAAACACATTGTTGTGAGCTTTTTTTCTTGAAGGGAAAGTTATTTCATTTTTTTATAATCATCATAGAACGCAAGTGAAAAGTTTGGATGATGATGAGGAGGAGGAAGATGATAATGAGAAGAGATTAACACAGATTAGTAAAGGCAATTAAGGAGGAGGAGGAGGAGGAAGAAGAAAAAAAGGAAAATACAAATTGTGATAAATATGAAGGAACGAGAAGCAAAAAATATAAGGAGAAAGTAAATGAATCAATTGATTTTACAGATAGATTTGGATGATTAAAAAACAAGTTGTAGGTCCGTTCAAGTGGTAAAATCAGGACAAGTTGATCAATCATTGGTTTTATCAATAATCCGTTGTAAGTCCATTGATGTGTGTTTCTTGATCGGGAAAAGTGAAGAGGAAAGGAAAGGGTTGAAAAAGGACAATGAAACAAAATAATTAACAATACGAAACAAAAAATCAACCGTCTTTGATTGACATCAGAGATAGTTTCTCTTTCCTAGACTAGTAATATGCATATATTTATAAGGAGGTCAAATTGATGGTGTTGGTCAATTTTTTGGGAACATTTTTTCAGGATTATTGATAGAAAGAAGAAGAAGAAGAAGATTTTGAAGAAATATTACAATACATTTGTTGGGAGGTTCAAGTCGGGAATGATTAAATGGGAATGAATGTTGATTGTTGATAGCCTTAGGATGGTTTCCATTTTGTTATCATCAACAAGTTGATGGATTGTTGTTTAATTGTGATGTGTGTTTTGTGTTTTGTGTGTGTGTGTGTTTGTTTACATGTAAATGTGCATATTGTTGCTTGTCTTGATCTTGCTGTTATCATGTACGTTGGTAGGTGATGTTGCTTCAAATGTTGGATTATGGTTTACAGAAGGGGTTAAAGATTAACATATTTCAAGGTTTGATTATTTAAAATCAGTTAGCATTACAATTTGATAACAATTTGTTAATAAGAAACAAATGAGAGAGAGCTTGTGAGAGAGAGAGAGTGTGTGGATAAATTATGAGAAAGCACAGGTTTTTTGTTTTGTCTGATTGCTATGAGTTCGCACTTGATTATAACAATTCAAAGATAATTAGATATAATAGAGAGCTTCTTTTAGTCAAATATACGATCAATGGACAAATGGATGTTTGAAACAAGGTGAGATGATAAAAGAAGAGAAAGTTATCATCTTTTAAGATGATTTACAATAAATTGATATAAGTTGAAAGGTTGAAATTTATTCGGTGTCTATCAAAGTCTTTGTCTTTTAATGGTTTAATTTTTTTTGGTGGTTCGTGAGGTGATGGTCATGATGAGGTCCAGCGATGAGGATCAATGATGAGGTTTAATCATGTTTAGTTGATTGATAAGTCTTTGCTTGTAAATAGGCTTTCAAATGAGGCTTTGCTTTGCTTGAGATTGACAATCCATTTGATTGTAGCTTTCAAATTTGGTGGGCTTTGACCGTCTTTATACTTGTTTCGGTGGATTGGTTTTGCTTCTTCATTTCATCCTCTTTAATGTCGATTTCATTGTCCACTTTTCACGATTGACCATAAAGTACAAGAAATGAAATATTGGGGAAGACATTTGTCCAGTTTCTAAAAGAATGAAGAAGACAAATTAATTTAGTCAATTAGTCGACAACATTTGATAACTTGTTTTGAAATGCATTAATGAGTGAGAATGTAATTAATAATGATAATAATATGGATGCTAATAATAATTCAATGTTAATGTTGATGTAATTTGCTATTATTGATGTAATAATAATATTATTGGATGTAATTTGAAATGAAAAAACAAGAACAGGTTGAAACACTTCAACAGATTTTTCAGAGTCTTCTGGGGAGTCTCAATAAATCAGTTTAATAATCAACTAGGCGCGACTCTCTTGATTCATGAGAAATCAAGAAGAAGATGATGAGTAGCAGAAAAAAAGGGAATCCTGATGATAATGATGATGTTCATGACTAGATCATCAGGGAAAATCAAGAAAGCTATTCGGAAAAGGGTAAACCCTGAGGGTTGAAATTTTTTCGCTTCTAAAATGTAAACTTAAAGGGGTTTACTAACAATTTAAAGATGATCAAAATAATGACGATTAAGAGAGTAAAAAGTGAGATGGAAAATATTCATTTCTTTAAAAACTCGCAATTTTGTTACTATTACTGACAATTTATATCAGATCAATTGAAATAAGTTTCAATTGATGGAAAAAAATTCAAGGCTTAAACTTGAAATTGTTTACAAAATCATTCAATGGTCGAGTCAACAATCAATTAATCCTCTTTACATGAATATCATTTGGTAAACCAGAAAAGGTGTAAAATTGAAGTTTATTACTAACCTTTAATTTCATTTTTTGTCTGTTCATTTCAATCGTAAAATGATTTAGGACCTTCTTGGTTAACAGTTGATAACAATTGTGTCAAATTGTTTGCATTGATTTTACTGGTTAACACCAAACATTGATGGCTTGTTGATTGATCATTGATAAGCAATTTTTTTGGCATTATGTTATGAAAAAGAGAAAACAAAAAAACTGGAAAAAAGCTGATACTTTGCATGATAGTCATGATGATTGGTAATGATTATCATCATGTTTGAAACATGTTTAGAATCAATTGATTATCATGTAAAGATAAAAAGGTAAAGATTGGAATTGATTTTTGAGAAACAAAAAAGTTGATTCCAATTGATAAATTGATTGGAAAGAAAAAGAAAGGAAAAAAGGTGAAAACTTTGGTCAACAACAATTAGTTAATAAAAAAACAATGCAATGGTAAAAGTTGATTATGATCAATGGCCAATCAATCGGTCAATGGTTAGTGCTGAAGATGATACAGATGTTGATACTGGTCCAGTTGAGGTTGAAAGGGACAATGAAGAGACACTGCAATTGGATGCAATTGAAGGTGATGATGAGGTTGTCGTTGTGGTGACTGGACCACTGGTTGATGATGATGAAGATGAAGATGAAAGTTGATTATTGTTGGTGTTGGTTGATGTTGAACCAGATTGTACACTAGTTGTCAAGGGCGATGTGTTTGAACTAGAAATGGGTAAATTTTGCCTTTTAGACTTGGCTCGTCTATTCTTGAACCAAAATTGGATATTTTTGGGCTCCAGTTTGGGATATTTCAGTCTATAAGGTGAACTGTTTAGTTCATCCGTGTATGAAACAATCTGAGGATGGTTTGGATGGGTACAAAGGGAAAACCATTGTTCCAATTTGGGTACTTCGGTGGTTGGATCGATAAAGGTGCGAGACCGTCTAATCCTTCGACCTTCTTCAGGAGAATCGGGTTGACCATGGGATCCACTTGAAGCACCATTGTTTAAATTGGAAGAAGAAGATGAATGATGGTGATGTCGATCATGGGAAGATGTAGAGTGATGATTGTGTCGTCCACCAGTTTCACTAATCATGCCATTGATTGATTCTGATCCAATGCCGAGGTAATTTGATGTGACTCCACTTAGATTGTGGACATCACCTGAACGACTTGAGATTCCTCCATGATTACCACTCGTTAAACTCAGCCCATGTCTAGAGGTTACAACCGGATAATAGTCTCTCTCATCCATATCATCATAATCCTCTTCATCTTCCTCGTCCGAGGCTGGTTCATCTTTCACGTTAAAATTGGAGTGACACGATGAGGCCGAGGCTAAGGTGTGAGGCGGTGTTCCTCGAATTAAATCAGACAAAGAGGAAGGACCCGAGATTGGAGAGCCGGGAGGCGATGAATCGGACCGTTGACGTTTCATGGGTCGAACCGAAAGATCAAGGGTTTGTGATATTTGGGAACAATCGTCGTCCATCATCATGTCATCGCCCTCGTAATCATCTTGACCTGCCTCGGAGCCATCATCATCATACATTTGGCCCATCAGTAGATCTTCATTTCCGTTGCTGTCCGCATAAGGTTCATTCCCACTGGTTCCATTGCCACCATTGCCACTGGTTAGACCACTTAGTCCACTGAGACGATCACTCATCAGACCAGGCATTAAACCTAAACCTCGGCCTGATCTGCCTGAGCCAAGGTTGATACGAGCCTCATAAGGATCACGACAATGGAGATTTGATAGATTGCTAGAGTTGATTAAATTGTTGCTATTGTTATTCACATTGGTTGTGTTGTTATTGCTTAAGGTTGGACTCTGTGAGCCATTTACGAGTTTCAATTCGTGCCTTTTATGCGCTGCTCGAGCATTTTTAAACCAATAGACGACATTATTCACGTCCAAAGGTTTACGGCCTCGCCTTGATTCTAATGAATTTAGTTCTTTAACATATTGCTGAATTTGAGCTCGCGATGGATGCTGATTCTCACTAAACCATTTATGCAACTTTGGAAGCTCCATTTCTGGATCAAATGAAGTTCTTATTCGAGTTCGAACATATTGTCCAGGCGCATTCGGTGAGCTTCTATTGATATTGGAATTGCTATTACCATTGTTGGCAGCAGTTGAATTGGAGCTGTTTAAGTTGGTTGTACCAGAAGATGAGATGACGGAAGAAGCTGAACTATCCAATCTTGCACCCGCACCACTTGAACCTCCAGTGACACCTGAATTTGACTCAGATGACCGTCCAGTTGAAAGAAGATGGCTAGATGAGGATGACGATGGTCCCCTGGTGTGATGATGGTGATCATGTGAATGATGTTTAGAGGAATGGTGATGATGATTATCTTTTAAATGATTGGAATGAGATGAAGCACTTGCATTGGAAGCCAAGGAAGCTGCATCCATGTCAAGGTTCAACAATGATTGACAATTGGCTGCTGCAGCAACGGCCGCCGCAGCGGCTGCTGCTGCCGCTGCTGCCCCACGATTGCGAGTCAATGTTTCATTGACTCCTGACCCATCTACAGATCCATTTCCAGAGGCTGTTGAACCAGCCGAGGCAGCAGCAGCATTAACCACTGCTGCAAGTGCTGCTGCGGCTGCTTGTTTTTGCTGTTGATCTGAAAAAGGTTCAAGTAATAGCAACAAAAGGTTATCAAAAGGATGAAGATAAAAATTGATAACACAAAATGGAAAAGTAAACAATTCATTTTACAACAAATCAATGTTTCATGTGATTTATGAATAATTTTTCAATCAAAAAAAGTGGAAAAGAATGGATAAAATATTTAATTGCAAAAGTGGCCTTCATCATGCAAACAAAATGAGATCAGGTCGAGTGCTCTTCCCAAGTCAATCTCAATATGTAAAATAAAAGTTGAACCAAACAAATAAAGCTTGAAATCAATTGAACAAAATTGGTGGTAAAAGTTGAGAGAAGGCAAAAATCAAGATTCACGGAAAACTTTTCAACAATCAACAATATAATGTAATGATAAAATAATGATATTATTATTGCTAATTCTGTGGGTGGATGAAGTTTGATGAAAACCCCTTGGAGAGAGAGAAAGCTAAACTGTAGAGAAAAAGTTCAATTGAAAATCAAAATCAACAGTGCTTGGTGTAATGTAAGGAGTAAGTCTGAATTGGAACCTGGATAAGCATACTGATTGGTGTTTCACTTTGAAACATCAAAACTATTCAGCTCTTCTTTACCTTGAAGGGTTTCAAGGATGCTCTCGGTAAGTCACGAAATAATACTTTGTTACAGGGTGAGAAGGTGAGGATGAGAGTGAAGAGATGAGGATGGAAGAGAGAGAAAGAAATAGAAGATTTATATTCTTGAGAAAAAAAAATTTTTCCATTTTGATTCAGTAAATATTATTGACAGGTAAAAATGTATACACAAATGAAGGAAATGTTGAAAAGCTTTTAAAAAGATAAAGGTAATAATAATGAATAGAAATGATGATAAAAGAGAAACAAGCATCTTAATCAATCCTTCTCTCTCTCTCTTTGCTCACCATAATCATCCTCATCACCATGCGAGCTTTTATTAGTTTTGTTTCCAGAATGATGAGTATATTGGACTTGAAGTTTGCAAAGATGAAGATAAAAGGTTGAAATTGAAGGAGGAGGAGGAGGAAGGTGAAGATAGAGTCTGGTAAAGGTACGTTTTCTTTATAGTTATAGATTGTTAATTTTGATTGTGTTTGATTGTTGATCAATGAAAATATAGTTTGCTGGTTGAATCAATTGTAAAACTTTTGATAAACTTGATGGACTTACTTGTAGCTGCCATGACGGCTGCAGCAGCAGCGGCCGCTTGTTGATGGTGAGCTTGAGCTGCAGCCAGAGTTGCCATTTGACGATATTGATTAAACACTTGCTGCATATACCATTGATCAAATTTACCTCGAGTTTCATCGTTAAGCTCAGCTTCCAATCTATTATTGCGTCCCATTAAAGCTGCCAATAAAGTCTAGAAAGTAACAAACAAAACTTGAAATTAGTAAATGATTGACAATGATTAAGTTATTGCAAATAAAAAATGAATGATTTAAACAATGTTTTAAATAAACTTTTGCCAGTCAATGTTGACCATTTTACCTGTAAAAATGTTAAGCAAAAAAACCTGTTAACTTTGAATACAATGAACAGTTTGTACTAAAGATTTCCAGTGAATCTTAAGCCGTTTTACCTTGACTAGATAATTTTACGAGAAATGCTTTTCTGATTTACCTTTAAAAGATAAACTGAGGTCAATGAGGGAAAAATGAGTTTAAACTTATTACACAAGTAAATAGACGGTGAAAAAAAAACGTTGAATGATAAACGGATTAAAAGATGAGGGAAAGATAATTCCTTGGAGGGATTAACTTGTTAGATAATCTGAGCAGTAAGCCAAGATGTTGAGTGAAGAGCAGCGAAATGAATGTATTATAAATCACGTGAAATTAAAACGTTGTTTTACTTTGATGGTGTTAAGATTGGCTACTAGATCATGATCAAGGTAACAGTTGATTTAACCAAAAAATATGTCAAATTTGGGTTTAGAAAAAGCGATTTAAAGATATACACAAAAAGGCTTGCAACACTCAGACTATCAAGGGAGTTAAAGCTGAAAAATGTGGATTACAAGATTAAGAAAATTAATAGCAAGGATATAAAGAGTTATCAAGGAGAAAAATTTGCCTACAATTGTTAACCCAGACTGAGGTACTTTCAGAATCGTTACGATGATTAAGTGTAATAATGATAAATATGTAGAGAGAGAGAGAGAGAAAATGTTTCATCTTAGATGAACAGATAATCATTGAAAAGTAAGAATTTTTTTTCTGGTAAAGTTGAGGAAAACATATTGAAAAGATTATGAATGAAAATGGTGAAGGTAATTAGTTGGGGCTGAGGAAGATGAAGAGAGTCATAATAAGACAAAATGAATTGACGTTGGAAAAGGAAAGAGTAAAGAAGATGAAGAATGCATGATTGGATGAGTTTGATCCCTTCTTTCAAATTTTAAATTTGCTTCTATTAATGAGGCAACCCAATAAAAGCAGAGGAAAGGGGAAGATGATGATGATGGTGATGAGAAGGAGCAAAAGATCGGCTTTAAGCGAAGGATTAAAAACCAGCATTTTGCAAGGCAAATACACCCAAAAGTAACTTTTCCTCTTCTTCCAACATCTCACTTCTCCCATCAACTCACTGTTCATCATCATCATCTTCATCTTTTATCTTCACCATCATAATCTTAATTCTTTGTCTTTTTTTCGTCTTACTTTTTTTCTCCACTTCTTTTTGTCTCAACTTTTTGCCTTTACTTTTGTCTTCAAATGAAAACATATTCAACTCATTTTCGAGGTCTTATTGATTGTCTCACCAATTGCTTCAATTTAAAGAGATGATGATAATGATGAAGATGCAAGATGAGAAAAAAGAAGAAGAAAATAATATATTAAATTCATCAGGCAGGATGATGTTAAATCTGTTTTCCTTACAGTTCTAATTCTTCTCATTATCTTAATCAGAACTTTTTCTCCTATTCCATGTTCACCATTTTCATTTTATCTTCTTCTTTTTTCTTTAGATGAACATTAAATTTTTTTTTCCTCCTCAAAGTTGAACAAAAAACCAAATTCAACTCTAATGAAGGCAAGAAAAACAAAAGTTGAAAACAATTGAAATGAAAATCAAGTTTATCACAAAATGTTTTACTTGAAAAGATGATTAGGATTAAGGAGAAAAATTGAATCAAATTAATTATCCAATTCAATCTCTCGACTAATTAGCTTCTAAACTCAATCGCGAAAATCGTTGAAAAGGTAAACACAAAAGTTTCAAAATTGGTGCCGTTTCCACCCACAAAAGTATCAACATAACAATTGACTGTTAGCAAGTAATTAAAGGTAAGATAAAGTGTTGATTATTAATTGTAAAGAGCGCCTTGGGCAAACATTGAAACTCATCAGAATCATGGCGAAGCGCATCAACTGTTATCATGACCAGCATCATTACCGATAGACTTGCGGTTAATTATCAACTAATTAGCTAATTAACTAATTGATTGACAGCATCATTTTTACAATACTTGGTAACAATCAATAAATTTTGATAAAAAAGACAAATAGAAAAAAAAAGTTCGTAAAAAGATTAACTTTGTAGGGTTGTAAAAAACGAAAAGGCAAGAAAAAAGTTAAATTGCATTCAATAGTTAACAGTTAATTATAATCGATAACAATTGATTGTTAAACTGGCAAAGCGAAAGGTTGATAGAGGAAAATCAATTAACAGTCAATTTATCAATTGAAATTCACACACAGGGAAGAAACGTTCATCATCATAAAATTATTATTAAATTGATGTTAAATTACATTTCCGTTGAAAGTGAATATAAAATGAAAACGTAACATAAATTGTACAAGTTGACTTAATATTATCAACATTTTCATATATGTTTGTCCCATGTTATTATGATATTTAGCGAGTCAAAGTCAACACATAGCTGTTAATAGGGAATGATAAAAATCTTGAAGGATTTTCATTCTTCCTCTGATTAATCAATTAAGAAAGTAAAGACTGAATAAGAGGCAGAAACAAAATGAACCATGAGGAACAGATGACATGATCTAATCATGTCTACAAGTGATCAATTCGTTAACCTCGTTCTTGTCAAAGAGCAACTTTTCAATGTTCAATCTTCATTTTTTGTCCAATCCTTTTTTCATCATCTTATTGGACAAATTCAATGTAATAAGTTGCAACAGTAAATAAGCTGAAATGATGATCATCTTGAAGAAAAGGGTTTTTTATTGAAAATTTGGAACACTAGATAAATAATGAAGATGAAGTTTTATATCAACTAATTATGGGATCAAATAAAATATGAGGAAACCTTGAAAAGTAGAGAGAAGATGAAAAAAGAAGATGAAAATTGGTGTTCATCAACGTCATAAAACTCATCTTCTTGTCGCAGAAAAAAAAGTTCATTTTAGATGCTTTAGTTAATACTTTTTTTTAACATCTTCATCTTCTTCTTCTTCTTCATCTGATACTTCAATTTAACTTGTATAACCCAATGAGCACTGAAAATTGCGCAAAGTCAAATGAAGATGACAAAATGAGACAAAATAAAAAAAGATGATAAAACAAAGTAAAGAAGATGAAAGAACAGAGTAAATGAAAGTTACCCTGTTGGGTGAATATTTGTTTCTACCAATCTGATGATGAAGGGTGAGGTAGAAAAAGATGAGGAAAAGATGAAGAAAAAGGAAAGATGAGGAAGAGTAAAAAAAGCAAACAGAGAAATGAGAGTTTATTAAGAAAAAAACTGAGCATGACATTTGTTTTTTATCTTCTTTTCACTTCTCTTTTTTGTGTTTCTTCAATTTACAGGGTAACACTGAATTTTGAGCAAAATTTCAGGTTACAGTTAAAAGGTTTTCAGCCTGTTTTAAGGCTAATAACATCAACAATGTCCAATTTGTAAGATGGTAAAGCTGATGACAAGAGATGCAATAATAATGATAAAAAGTAATAATATTAATAATAGTTAATAATAATATATTCACAGCATCCGATTTGGTGAAATATGATTTGTGAGTTTTGAGTGAGTTTTGTTTTTGTCTCTTGTTTTTTTTTCATTTCATGTTACATTGAGAAAAGGAAAAAGGATGAAACATGATGAAAAAGGGTGACGATGGTGAGTAAGAGAAAAAAAACACAAGTGAATAAACTATCTGTGTATGAATTTTGTTCATCATCATTATCTTATTTCTTCCTCTGTTCTGCTTCATTTATATCAATGTTGATCCTGCTGTTGTATCAATCATGAAGATACATTCCTTCCCATGCAAATTAATTTCCATTTCTTCTGCCAGTCACAAATGCTTTTACTCTTCATCTTGTCATCATCATCTTTTTTCTTTATTTTTAAATATCTTTTTCTTAATAAACAGAGAACAGCAAAAAAAGACTTTTTTTCATTTCTATTTACATGGCATTTTCACTGCAAATTGAGATGACAAAATTCAACTGTTAAAGTCAAAGGTAAAATTGTCATTGTAATCATGAGTCAAAATTCAACATAAACATGAATTAATTATCACAACATTTTCCTTTGGACATTAAACCGATTATCAATTCTTTATTGATTGATTTGAATTTACTGTCAACTTGGTCAAGGATTGTTTTAAATATCAATATCAAGTGATGAGGATAAAAATGTAAAAAAATGTAGAGAATATGTAAGAATATTCTTGTACATATTCTTGATAAAGCAACAAAATATGCTTTTTATTCTTGAAAATAGTACTATTGACCAGGCTCATTAGATTGTGTAAAAAAATTATCTTTAGCTTTTCTTCACTAAATCTGGTTTGGCGATAAGATAACAACAATTTAAATTTGGGTAAACTCCGCGCTCTTTAGTTTTAAATCAATCAATAATAAATGAAAAGTTAAAAACACATCTAAAATGGTTTGATATGCTAAAAAATGAAAAAGTATGTATTTAAATGTATGTTGTATGTAATAGAGCCTGGAATATGTTATCAACAAATGAATATGCTTTATCAAGAATATTCCTTGCCGTTCTCTGTCAATATCAAGTGATGAGGATAAAAAATGTAAAGTTAAGGAAACTGTTTTTTTTCAAGCAAAAAAACAGGTCGATAGGAAAATCAATCTGCAAGATGAGATGAGGATGAAAAGATGATTATTATTGTTATGATGATCAAGGGATGAGAAGGATGAGCGTTAATGAATATAAAAAAAGGCTTTTCTCTTCCATAAGATAAATTAAGAAGATTTTATATTAAAGAATACTAATTAGAAGATGAAAATGTTTCTAACGTTTTTTTCTTCTTCTTGCTTTATCTTCTTCTCAACTTATCAGTTATCCTTACTTTCATCATCTTTTTTAGTTATTTGTTCATCTTCCGAAAGATAATTGTGAATATCTTTTTTTGTTCCTTTCTCTTT